TGTGTCTCCAGGTCCCACCGCCGTGTCCGCCGCTGCCGCGCCGCTTCCCGAGGATCGCGGAGACCCCCCCGGAACCGAAAATGCCGAAGCCGGTGAGTAGCCGGCTCCCCGCGGGCACCTGGCCCGGCGCCGGGGCTCCTGGCGGCTCGGGGTCCGCGGGGGGAAGGGCAGGCGCGGGGAGCCGCTCCCCGGACACTGGGTGGTGGTTTTGTAAACTCTGGGGAACCCCGGGGCGCCTTTGCTTTTGCGGGGCCCCCGGGCTGCCCAGGTTTCGGGCTTTTAGATAAACTAGGGCCCCCGTGACACTGCTGCCGTCTGTTTAAAAAGCGGATTCGAGTGCAGCTTGTTTCCTACAAAGAAAAGTTGTCGGATCGCAGGGAGAGCGAGCCTAGTGGCTTCCGAGGACGCGCACCGACCCCGGTCCCCGCAGGTGTCCGGGCAGATGCACCCCGACCTGCCCTGGCGCTCCCCGGGGCCCCAGCGGAGGAGGCCGCCCCTGCGGAGGGCTGGCCCTGCACCCCAGGTCCCCGGAATCTGCTGGTGCAGCAGGATTCCTGTCTGAGACTCAGGGCCAGCCCCGGACTGGAGCTGCAGAGGAGGCAGGCGGCCCTGGACTTCGATAAGGAGGCCTCTATCGGGCTCCCTCGGGCCCAGCACCCCTGCCGCACCCTGCAAACCGGCTGATTGCAGCGCTGCTGTGCCCGCACCCCTGTGCCCGGAGCCGGGGTGCCGCCATCTCGGGCGGCCGGCCGGCCAGGCCTGGGGCGGCTCCGGCTTTCATTTAAGTTGTGGGGACGAGGCAGGTTCTTTGTGCTGCGCGCTTCTTAGAAAGTTGTACGTATTCCACCTGCTTTTCACACGGTGAACTGGTGACTCGACGTTGACAGTTTTTTAGTTGACTTTTTAAGTCGTGGTGGAGAAAATATCTGGATTCATTAAAAAATGGAAAGAAAAGATACACAGGGGATTCATTTCTAGTTTTGCAAACAAGTTCTGTGGGCAGTGCTTATGTGCTTTTCCTACTGTTAAACGCTAGATTTTCTAAAAGGAGTTTTTAATGAAGTTTCTGTTACGGTTAGGTTAAACAAGTTACCATGTTAATATGCTAATAGATTCAGAAGCCAGTATAGTTTTTGCCTAAGTTACATCATCAAGATGATTCATTCATGGTGCAGGAAATTCTCTTCCTACACAAAATTCTTCATTTCGAACATGCAAGGGGCACGTGACATCCAGGCTTTTCAGTGCCTGTGACATGAAATTGACCAAAACACGGTCCTTATTCTGGGAACAGCCCTGAGCCTGGAAGCGACTCGCAGATATTTTGCTAAAAGAAAAGATGTAGAGCTCAGCTTGTAAGATGTCCCTCAGGAAAAAAGTCAGTAAACCAGTTTCCAGTCACTACTTTTCCTTCTCTTTTCTCATAAGGAGTTGTAATTTATGTTTCTGTTTTTATTGTAGTAAAATATACACATCACCTTCCCCAACCACTAACTCCCCTTTGTTCCTGCAGCCCCTGGCTAGGGACCTCATATTATAGAATCACAGTATTTGTCCTCTGGTGTCTGACTCATTTCGCTCAGCACAAAGTCCTCCAGGTCCTCGGTGTTGTAGCGTGTGTCAGAATGCCCTTCCTTTTCAAGGTTCTTTCCTATGGCAGGTACATTGTAATTTCATTTTGCTTTCAAAGTCTTTTATGAGGGATCAGAAATTTAGAAAATGTTCTGACAAAGTGAGGATAGTTAAGTTGTTAAGGAATGATAGTAGCCATCACTTGGTGTGTTAGGATCCGGATAACCAGAATCATGTTTTGAAAGACTTTATTTTACACTAGAGGCCCAGTGCACGACATTCAGCCCAGCCTGTGCCCTCTCACAGTCCAGGACCCCTCGGGGGATGTCTGACTGCAGGCTTAGGCCTGCCTAAGCCAACAGTCGGACATCCCCCGAGGGGTCCTTATCGCTGCTGTGGAGGCAGGAGAGGCTCCCTCCTCCGCTGCTGTGATTGCCAGCCATGAGTCTGGCTTCTGGCTGAGCAGTGCTCCCCCTGTCGGAGCACACTGACCACCAGGGGGCAGCTCCTGTGTTGAGCGTCTGCCCCCTGGTGGTCAGTGCTTGTCATAGCAACTGGTTGGTCTGCCGTTTGGTCAATTTGCGTATTAGGATTTTATTGGATAGGATAGGCTAGGATAGGATAATATGTACAATTGTAATTTCAAAACAGTGTTGGGAGATCTCCTTTAGGTGAGCCACTTGGGAAATTCCTACCTGCCCCCTTTTCTGTGGGGATGGATTCTTGGAAATTTTGCCTCATAAAACACATCCCCCCCCCACACGGAAGGCTGAGAAGAGCTGAGGGGCTTGCACACGTTTGGATATGGTCCTTCTAAGGCTGCTGTACACTGTCTAGTGTTGTTGGCTTTTTGGCCCTCTCAGTAGATGTGAAAGGGGGAGCATCCCCAACAAGTTCTATAGATGTGCTCTTCAAAAAGTTATTCTTTCTTTTAAATTGATCTTATTATAGAGAGGGAGGGAGAGAGGGAGAGAAAGAGAAAACATCCATGGGAGAGAGAAACATTTGGTTGCCTCTCACATCTGCTCCACCTGGGGATCAAACCCTCAACCGGGCCGTGCCCAGACCCTGCCACCTCCAACCAACTGAGCCACACCGGCCAGGGCAGGTGTATTGATTCCTACTGTTCAAGTCCAAGCTAAGAATCTTGTTAGGTGGCTTCGTGTGATTTGAGGTGTGACAACAGGATCCAGGGGCAAACACCTGTAAAGAGGAACACCTCTGAGTGGCTGGGGTGGGGGCTTCCACCTGATGCCTGAATTTTTGATTAAGTATTTTTGATTTGTCTAAACTGAGTCAGTGGGTGCCTTTATCCATAAAACACTATAAATGAAATATTTACTTGCTGCTTTCTCTCTGAACACTGCTCTCCAGTCGCCACTTGTTCACTCAGTCAGCCAGGCAAGGAGCCCGCACGGGTGGCTGGGGCAGGTCTTGGCCTCCGGGAGCTTGCAGTCTGGGACCTGAGCCCAGACACTGGATGCTGCAGCGAGCTGTCCTAGGGAGGGACTTAGGTCAAGGGCGGCTCTGCCCCGCCCCCTCACCTGGGGAGGTGGGGTAGGGGGGGTTGTTCCCAGGTTCCTGGCTCAGGAAGCAGTCTTTGTGCCCATGATTCAGCCAAGGGTGACCTGTGCTGCTCCTTCCCCCCCAGCCCCCCACTTGCTGTCTTCATTGTGATGGAAAGGAGGTGTGGGCATTAGAAAGGAAAACCTCTGCCTCCAGCTTGGAAGTGAAGGAGCTTCCAGCTCTTAAAGCTGCTTTCCCAGGAGTTGAGTTGAAGTGGCTCCAGTGGGTGCCTGGCCTTTCGCTCCTCAAGTGTGGACGTGGAAGTTTCTCATGCAGAAGTGCCCTTTCCCTTCAGCGAGAAACTCGGGAGTGTGTTCACATTCTGCCCTGTGCCAGAACGATAAGGTAATTTCTGAGATTACCTTGGATCTCTGGGAATACACAGCCTCTGCCACTAAATATTTTAACAGGGTCAGAATTTACTGAATATACTGATACATTTTCCATCCCTCCCACCAATTGAGGAGGATACAGGGGATCTATTTTCTGTTACCCACCCCCCTTTACCCCCCTCAGCATGGGCTGATGGTCAGCCAGGTAGCTAAGACTTGCCCATGGCAGTGAGAAGTGCTGGCCGGGTTAGTCATCTGTCACCATCACACCAAGGCCCAGTGAGTCTGTCTGTACTTCCATCCATCAGCTCAGGGGGTGTTGACTGCGTCACTGTGCAGTTGAGGCTGCTGAGATGAGCAGACACGAGGTGAGTTCAGGGTTCCTGATGAAGACCAGTGGGCGAGAGGAAAACGGAGGCCAGCTGCGCAGGGCCTTCCTTGTGGCGGTACTCGGGTTAACTCCAGAAGCAGTGGGGGTTTTGACTCTAAGGAGGAGGCCTGTGTGGTCATTGCAGCTGCCGTGTGGGAGGCAGGAGGAGGCAGTGGAGAAGGTAGACCATTGGAGGGGCCCCGGTGAGAGTGATGGCATGGACCAGGGTGGTGGTGGCGGTGGTGGTGGTGGTGCAGAGGGAGAGAGTGGGCACAGGTGGGAGGTAAACTCGCTGGACCTGGTGATGGATGGATGTGCAGGGGCCAAGGGCGGTGCCGGCTGACCTGTGGGGTCTGGCTTGCGTAACTGGCTGGCTGGTGGTGCCATTCGGGAGATGAGGAACCTGGAGAAGGACCAGGTGTGGGAGGGGCGGTTGAGGGTTTGGTTTGTACAGGCTGTTAATACACTTGGGACTGTGATTGATGGAAGAGGTCCTTGCCTTCTTTCATAATCATAACCACTACCTCCCTAAAGATGTGCACATACCGACTTCAACTGCAGTGTGGGTTTAATCCACATAGGCCAGAAGGGAGCCAGCAGTATCTGACATTTCTCCACACACGCAGTTAGAAGTTAGGGGGAAGCTGGTGCGAGTTCTTAGACTTCGGTGTGGCTGACCATGTGGAGGCAGAGTCCCGGGCCCGCACGGCGCTGCTGGATGCCCCTCTCCGGCCCGGCAGGGCCGGGCACCTGTGCTTTCCGGAAGCTCCCAGGTGGTTGATGCCCCCAGAGTTTGGGAACCGCTGATTTCGTCAGAAAAGGCAGCGTTATGTATCCCTTTCTCTTGGACCCAAACAGGGCAGTGAAGCCCTGAGATGGGTGATACTGGGGGTGTGTGTGGGCAGACCCAGGGCTCCCGGTGTGCAGTGGCAGCAGCGAAGCCCAGCGTGGCTGTCACGGTGGGCGTGGAAGTTTGTTTTACAAACTTCAGTGTAACCTGTAGCTAAGACTTAAGGATTTCGCTTCCCAAGTTGCTATAAATCAGGTAGTTTGTCAATAGACCTTCCAAGGAAAACAGCCATGTGAAATGTTTGGGTTATTTTCTCTAACACAGCAATTTTCAACCTTTTTCATCTCATGGCACACATAAGCTAATTATTAAAATTCTGTGGCATACTAAAAAATGTATTTTTGGCCAATATGACAAAAAATAGGTATACTTTTGATTTATTCACACCGGGTGGCTATCGTT